CGTGTGTGTTTGTATGTGTATACGTGTCTACTTCTCTCTCTCTCTCTCTCTCTCTCTCTCGGCAGCGCGACACCAAAGAACGGTAGAACGCGCTCGTATACAACGGGCTCGCGAGGATATTATCGCGGAGCGCTCAGGAAACAGCGTTGTACGAGCGCTAATGCGTCGCTTCGATCCGCAACAGAGCGGTGCCCCGCGCTTCTCCGTCGAGGCTCGCTGCCTCGATTCCACCAGCTCCAGCTTCAGCCACAGCAGCTGTCGGTCGACTCGGCTGCCGTGTATCGATCGGTTCCACGACCACCGTGAATCGCGTTTCCACCGCAGCCACAATTCCAATCCTTTCCTGTCCTTCCCTCCTCCCTTGTCCTTCTTTCTCCGTTATTCTCTTTCTCTCTCTCTCTGTTATTTCTCTTTCTCTTCTCTTTCTTTTTCTTCTTTTCCGCTCGCCTTACGCCCCTTCCCCCTCTCTCTCCCTCTCCAGCCACCTCTTCCTCTTTCTCCGTCTCTGACGTTCTCGTTTCTCTCCAGATTTCACGTTTCCTCTTTCGACTCCCCCTCCCTCTCGAAACTTTTTTGCGCTGCAAAAAAAAAAAAAAAACTAAACGAGAAAATCTAGGATTAGAAGTACAGCGCGATATCCCACCTGGCTCTAGGCTAGATTTCGAATCGAGTCCCCGAACCGAGACGACCGGATCCGAACGGACCGATGGTGGACCACGACCACCACCGATGCTGGCCTTCCTCCTCCCCCGATGTCCAATTGATTCAGGACCGTAGACCGTAACGGGAACCGGTGTCGCTGTATCACCGGTGTGCACGCCGCCCGTACGATTCCCAATACGAGACACCTCGACAATTTCCATTGGAACGCATCTGGGGCCTCTCCCTCCTCTCTCTCTCTCTCTCTCTCCACGAACCAGGGAGGATCGTTAAAAGCCGTAGGAGGCTCGGTCGTAACTCGTGGGTCGTTACATTTCGGAAGCGGCGTTCCGACGATGGAAAGATCCAATTATCGAGCGCGGCAGTTTCCCCCCTCGGCGGGCCGTCGATCTCTTGCCGCGCTAGGTAATACGAGGTCCGTAACGAGAGAAAGGAGCCCTGGAAACGACCTGCGCGACGTCGATACGACCGCCGATACGACCGCAACCGCGCCGTCGTGGTGGTACGACCATATGCGCGCCCGTCGGTGAGAGGAAACGCCGCCAGCGCCGCCCAATGACAACGGCCGATCGTCACGGCGTCATCTTCCATCGATGGCCGGCCAAATTGATTCTCCCGCTCGACCTACGATTCTTACCGTCCTCCTCTCTCGTCGTCGTTAACATTACGCCCCCCTGTTACGGTTATTGGACGGACCACGAAAGAAGGAACCGTATGGTTGGAACCGAGGAGGAGGCTCGTGGAAACGTGTTTCCCCCTCTCCTTCTTTTTATTAGCCATATCACCGAGCGAAAGTGCAAGTACTCGTTCCGTTCCGTTCCGTTCCGTTTCGTTTCTTTCGCCAGATTTCGACGATTACGTATATCGTAATGTAAGGAGCAAGGATTATCTTTAAAATCGACGAACGTCCCTCGATCGAATCGTATTTTCAATAATGGAGGCTAAGATCTGGAAACGGTGGAGGACGATGAGCTCTGTGAATCGAAGCACATCAGAAATTTCAATAGCTTATTACAGCAACGAACATCCAGTTACCAGTTGCGGGTGCGATTATCGAGAAACCCCGCGCAATATCCGCCAGCGATAATTATAGATATATCGGATTATCGGGGAGGGAACAATGGGGGGACGAGGACGTGCGAGTTATCGGCTGTCATTCCCGCTTTCGGATACCCCCCGGTGCTATCGATGCGTCAGACTCGTTAACGGGAGGGAGGGGGGAGGGGAGGTAAACCTGACGCGCCGCGTGTCTTTATCGAGACTTTTATTCGTCCCTATCCCCCGCGTAATCCGAGTCATTAAAGTCGCGTAACGACCGAAAGGCCGAAATCCATCCGACCCGTCCCGTCCCGTTTATAAAGTCGATGTAACGTTTTCCCGATCGACGATCAACGAACCGTGTTATTTCGTCTCTACGCGCATCTCTGCCACGTGTGTTCGACCCACTCCCGAAAACTAATCGCATTAGCGGCTGTCAACTTCTCGAAAGAATCGCCTCCCATCGACGATACATCAAGGAACGGAGGAACGCGACACGAGTTAACGCTCGATCGGGAAACAACAGCCATCGATTTAATGGTTCGTCCACTTTGCTCGGACACGGTCGCCTCGAGAACAGGGGGAGGGGGGGGAATAGAAATGGAATAATCCGATATAACGTAGCGTCTCTTCCTTTCCTTGCCACGATCAGTTGGAACAATTTTCCACGATGCCGTCGAACGAACGAATCGTTTTCCGAGGTCAAGGATCGTATTTCGAGGAGGGGACACATTTCCAGCGTGGTTTTTATCATCACTCGTCTGCTCTGTTTCTCTTCTCATCCCCGATGCGTTCCAATCTCATCCCTCCGCAACCCCGCAGTGGTGGATCCAGCGGTGAACGACGCGAACACGCGCGCATCGCCGATAATATTTTGGACGATGCGAGGGGCGAGCCGGGACGCGAGAAATATTCGAAGCTCGCTTTGTCATCGAGACCGGCGATCGCCAACAAAGCCGAGCGTGTTGGGGAAATGTCGCCGCATACCTGTGCCCGGTATGGTCGCCCGTTACACGGACGACACTGCAAATAATAGAGCGCGGGGGTCGAACAATGGCCGAACAATGTATTTATTTTAACAATCGAACGATCGGCCGCGGTCGTTTATCCGTGACCCTTCGCGCCACAGGCCGTTCACCCTCTCTCGTCGTCGCGCGAACCACTCGAAATAAGCGGTCGATTCGAAAACCTCGTCGTACGCGTTCACACGGGTTGATCGGTCGAGGCAGATTTGTACGAGAGGAATGAAAGGGGGAGGAGAGAAAGATCCTCTTCGACTCGAAAATACAAATCCAACGAATATAAACTGACCGACGAAGGGAGAGATAGGTAAGTAAGAGAGATCGTTAAATCCTCGGTCGAAGAAATTGGCACGGAGCGGGGCGTCCCTTGAAAAGCGATCCGTTCGTTCGTTCCGGGGAAGCGATTTTAAATAGCGTGTACCGGTTAACCGAGACTTGGTTGGAATAATAAATCGCGGGAAATATCGCGGACAATTGCAAATTGGTACAAACGAGAGGGATTGTTATGAGGAGGGAATGAATAAAAGCTCGGTGTGGGAGGGTGGTAATAGAGGGTGGAAAAGAGAAGGAGTCCATTATATATTGCGCGAATATTCATCTTGAAAGTTAACGAACGCGGAGTAGCGTCTCGTTAACGAACGGGAAAACTCCTCTGGTCCAGGCCGGATCGTTTCGCTCGGAAAGAAAATATCCGCCTCTTTTTCTCGTCCACCGGCCATCTCTCTCTCCCTCTCTATCTTTATCTCTTTCTCTTCCCTTCCTTCCTTCCTTCCTTCTTTCTTTATTTCCTTCCTTCCTTCTTTCCTTTCTTTTTTTCCACTCGTTCGAACGTTCACAAAGCGTGTCATTAGTATAACTTTTTCACGACGGAGTTAGAACAAGTTGAAACGATGGGGACCGGATTTTTATATTCGGTTAAAATAATGAAGTTCCGGCGCGCGAGAGCCAGCCGCGTGAAAAGTTCGTGTTCGCGATCCTCCGTGTTTCCCTCTCCCTGCTCTTTTGCCCCGATCGACGATGAAACGGCGATGAAACGACGATGAAACTGTCGCGCGATTGTTATCACCACCCTCCTCCCTCCGCTGGAATTTCAATATCCATCCCCGAGTTTTCGTTCCCTTCCCGAGATATCGTTCGATTGATCCACGGAATTGACGAGCGAAACGCGATTTATCATAAACGAGGCAACCACGCGGCGAAGGATTAACGATTACCAAAAACGAGGAATTATCGATTCGTTACACTTTTCGCTTCCAGTTCTTTCCTCTTCTTCTTTTCCTCTCTTCAAAGTCGAATCGATGCGAGGGGAGATGATAGATCGATGGATCCTCTTTCCTTTCGACGTATATCGAGACACAACTACGAATCCCTTTCGTCTTATTCGCTCTTCTCCGTTTCTCATTGGATCAATTTCGATGGGTTGAGAAAAAAAAAAAAAAAGAAATATCAGCGACGAAAACGGGACGATTTGCAGTGTTAAATCACCAATGCTCTCCCCTATTCTATCACTCTCACCATTCTCACCGACAAGTGATATTTTCATCGTTCGTCGAGTGACAACGTTCGAGATTAAAGATTAATCGCTCGACGCGGTCGAAAATGAATTTTTTTTCCCCTCTCTCTCTCCTAAAATATGTATGCCACGATGGCACGTATAGGACCCTCGTCCCCCTCTTCTTCCTCCCCGGGAGCGTTATATAAAGTTCGTTTATTGGCACTCTCCCCCACCGTTCCTCCCAGCTCGTTTTCCGTACGCTCGTTACGCCGTTCGACCTCCGCAACGATAAGTCATCGGTTGACAAGTAATATTTTTATCGTTTCTGAGAGTGGCATTGTTCGAAAAATGATTAATCGTCCCCCCCGTCCGAGATTGTTATCGATGAGAGAGAGAGAGAGAGAGAGAGAGAGAGAGAGAGAGAGAG